TATTTTGTAGTCTCAGGGTCCCGAAGTTTTTTCCGGGTCAAGTGTTTTTGTTGTATTGGTCCTGCCGTGCGGGACATCTTCAAACATTCCCCATTAAAGGACTGGTTTGTTGGTGGGTTGTCTGATTGGCTCGCCGATTGCCGGGTCAACAAATTGTCATCCTGAAGGTTGGTTCGTGGGTTTGCGGGTAGGTAGGTCGGTTGGTTGGTTGGTTGATTCGTGGGTCGGATGGCTGGTTGGCTTGCCAGATTCTGGGTCAAGACAATTTGTTCTTGGGGTGGTTGGTTGGTTGGTCAAGTGGTAGGGCGGCGGTTGGTTGGTGGGATGGTTGGTGGATTGGTTGTTGATTGTTTGGGCGGTTGCTCGGTTGGTTGGTTGTTCGGTTGGTTGGTTGGTTGGTGGGTTGATTGGCTGGTTGGCTGGCTGGTTGGCTCACCGGGCTCTGGGTTTTTATTTTCGAGGCGACGGGGTGGTTGGTTGGTTGGTTGGTTTGCTGGCTAGTTGGTTGTGGTTGGGTGGTTGGTTCGTTGGTTGGCCGGTTTGTCGGCTGGTGGTTGGTTGGTCGGTTGGTTGTTTGGTTGATTTGGTGGTTTGGTGGCCGGTTGCCCTCTTGCCCAGGTTGTTTTGTTGGCCTTTTCTACTTTCCATTCCCCTCCCCTTTCCTCCCCTCCCTCTTTCCATTCCTCCCTCTTTCCATTCACTCTTCCTTTCCCCTTGTTCTCTGTACCGTCCTCCCTTCTGCTCCCTTCCTCCTCTTCCTCCTCCGCCTCCTCGTCCGCAATTGACGGCGATCCGATGTATTTCAATTGCAATGCTCATGTGACGCAGTTCTTTGCAATGCGACGCAATAGGATGCAATGCGATGCAACGCAACGCAATGCAATGCAATGCAAAAGCATTGCAATGCAGCAGCATACCATGCAATGCAGCGCAACACAATGCCATGCAACGTAACCCAATGCAATGCAATACAATGCAACGCAACGCAATGCAATGCACTGCAATGCACTGCAATGCAATGCCCTGTGACGGAATGTGCGCCTCGTCACGTGACAGTGGCGCGGGGCCCGAAAACAGAATTCCCACCCCATTTGCCACGTGGAAACGCCTTGGAGGGCGACAAAGTACTGTTCCCCTCTACTTGTCACGTGGCAGCGCCGCGGGGGCTGGGCTGAGAAAACTACCACTCCCGTCTTTTCGCAGCGTGGCACCGCCAGGGTTTGCGAACACACGTGCTGTCCCGCCAAGTCACTATATCCGTCACGTGGCAGCGCCGGTGGGGGCCGAGGGGGCCGAACAAAACTACTCGCCCACTCCACGCGCCGCGGGGGCCGAACAAAAAACAAATATATATATATATATATCTATATATATCCATTCTATTCGTGGCGTGGCAGCTCAGCGCCGCGGGGGCCGACAATAGTACTGTGCCGCTCCACTCGCCGCGTGGCAACCACCTGTCGGCGCGAAGAGGTCGGATTCCGTTCCAGTCGTCTTGTGGCAGCGCCGCGGGGGCCGAAGGAAACACAATGCCACGAGGGCGACGACGAGGACGACGACGACAACGACGACGACGAGGATAACGACGACGACGATGAGGGCCAGGGAGGCGAACACACATACTGTCCTGTCCTCGTCCTCGTCCTTCTCCCTCCCGCCTGCTCCTCCCGCTTCAATCCTCCTTGCTCCCTCCCCCGTTCCCTACTGCCCCCCCTTCCCCTCCTCTTCCTCCCTCCTCCCTCCGCACTCCTCCTCCTTCCTCCCCTCCTATCTGCATTTCTCCCTTCTTCTCCCTCCTGTCCTTCCCCTCGCCCGCAGTTTACTGCAGTGCAAAGTACTGCAAGCGCAAGGCAAAAGGCGACGCAGTGCAGAGCAGCACAACGCAACGGGATCGTTGGTTGGCTGGCTGGTTGGCTGGTCGCTGGTCGGTCCGTGGGTTGGCTGGTTGGTTGGGTGGCCGCCACGTCGCTACGCGTGGGCGGGCAACAACATACCATTCCACTCCTACTCGTCGCGTGGCAGCTCCGCGAGGGCCAGAAAGAAGGACACGTTCCCCTCCTATTCGCCACGTGGCAGCGCCTGGCGGAGGCCGACAACATACCAGTGCACTGGTTGTCACGTGGCGATCCCGCGGGGAGCGAAAGAGGCATGGAGCCACGCCGCTGGCAACATGGCAGCGCCTCGCGGCGCGGAGAGGCAGGGATTCGAGGCACTCGACTTGTCACGCGGCAGCGCCGCGGGGGCGGGAGAGCAGAAGCAGGACCATTCCACTCCTATTCGTCGCGTGGCAGCGTTGCAGGGGCCAATTACAAAAAGACACTACGCCACTCCACTGGCCACGTGGCCACACTGGCAGGCGCGAAGAAATCGTGTTCCAATCCTGTCGTCACCTGGCAGCGGCGCGGGGCCGAGAAACGCATCATGCCATGACGACGGCGGGGACGACGGCGAGGACGGCGACGAGAACGACGACAACGATGACGACGACGATGACGAGGGCCAGGGAGGCGAACAACAATACTATCCTATATTCCTCGTTCGTCTTCCTACCTCCTGGCTCCTCCCTTCTCCCTCCTCCCTCCTCCCTCCTTCCTCCCCCTTCCTGCCTCCTTCCCCTCCCCTCCTGACCCCTCCTCCCTCCTCACTCCTCCTTCCTCCTCCCCTCCTCTCTACCTTCCTCCCTTCTCCTCCCTCCTGCCCTCCTTCGCCTCGCCCGCAATTCAATCCAATGCAATGTACAGCAAATGCAGTGCACATGCAATGCAATGCAAGGCAACGCAACGCAATGCAATGCAATGCAATGCAATGCAGTGCAGTG